GAGAAGGCGGCATTTAGGGTTTGCTTGTTGGCGGTGAAGGGGCATATCTGAGTGAGAAGATATCGGTGGCTTTTTTGTTGGATAGCAGGTTCCTAATATGTTTCCTAATTTGTTTTGGTAACAGGTTATTGGGATTCCTAATATTTGTTGGATAGCAGGTTCCTAATATGTTTCCTAATTTGTTTTGGTAACAGGTTATTGGGATTCCTAATATGTTTTGGTAACATGATTCCAAATCTTAATTTGTTTTGGTAACAGGTTATTGGGATTCCTAATATGTTTTGGTAACATGATTCCAAATCTGTTTTGGTAATAGGTTATTAGGATTTCTAATCTGTTTTATTTTTTGTTTTAGAATTCCTAGTATGTTTATGATTTTAGGATTTCTATATATATGGAACAATTGGAAAAGAGAATTGAAAAGAAAATTGGGGATATTTGGAGCACAGAAAAGATGTATTTTTTGAGCTATTGGTTAGGGTTTTGTTTGAAGAGAATTAGAAATTTGTTGGTGAGATTAATTGGTGAGTTTGAGTGATTTGTAATCTCAGTTTGTACTCTTTTTCTCTATTAGTAAAAAAAACCATATCCCCTTCTTGCCCCGTAGACGTAGGCAATTTGCCGAACCACGTTAAAGTTGGTTGTTTGTGTTTATTGCATTGATTTGGTTCGTTTGGCCTTCTCTCGACGTTCGTTTAATTTGATTTCTCGTAGCACGTTGGTTTGGTTGTTTGGCTTCCGCAATGCTCAACAAGTAGTATCAGAGCTCGGGCTACACTTGGGCTATTTGGAGGAATAGGTCGTTTTGGAGGCTTGTCTAGGGCTTCGTTTGGTGATAAAAATGGGATCTTTTTAGTAAAGACTCTATCTTTTTAATTTTGGATCTATTCTTCATTTGTTCCGCATTTGTTTTGGTGCTTTGAGAAAGATGGTCGGGAAAGAAGGAGTTATGGAGGGTACTTCCGGCGTGAAGACCGTCTAAAGTTTGAATATCCACTCTATGAAGATAGATGTGGATAAGTTTAATGGCACAAACAATTTTGGTCTTTGGAGAAGTGAAGTCTTGGATGCGCTCAATGTACAAAATTTGAAAGATTCTTTGGAGTTGGACGGAAAACCGGACGATGTTGAGGAGAATGTTTGGAAAAAGATCAATAGAACGGGTATGATGTAATTAGATCTTGTTTGACTCAAGATTTAAAATATGATGTGATCAATTAGACTTCGGCTAAGAAGATTTGGGAGATTCTAGAGGACAAGTATTTGACAAAGAGTGTAGAGAACTGCTTGCATTTGAAGAAGAGGTTTTATCGCTTTCAATTAAAGAAGGTGATCTCCATTGGTGATTACATGAACCACTACATGAAACTTCTTGCGGATTTAGCGAATGTAAATGTGATGATTGAAGATGAGGACAATGCGTTGTTGTTGTTGAGTTCATTGCCTGACGAGGAATATGAGACTTTCGTTCTTACTCTTATTAATGGGAATGCATCTCTTTCTTATAGTGAGGTCACCGTTGTACTTTTGAATTATCAGCTTCAAAAGAAGGATAAGGAGACTTCAGTTGAGCCGGTAGCGGGGGCATTGGACGCAAGAGCAAAGAGTCCAAACTGTGGTAGGAGGTCGTAGTCTAGAAGGGCACATCTTGGAGTTCGTAGGAATCAGTGTGCCTTTTGTAAAGAGGATGGACATTGGAAAGCTGAATGCCCAAAGTTGGTTGATCGAGCCGGGAAGAATAAGGGGAAAGCTATTCAAACTTCAGAGGTGAATATTGTCAAGGCTAGTTGAAAAAATTCAGATTCGGATTCTTTGGGCTACTCGTTATATGTACTACCGTCAGTTTGTGTTGCCGACTCTACAGAGTGGATGCTGAATTCGGGTGCCTCTTACCATATTTATCTTAGGAGGGATTGGTTCTCCAGCTTTCAGAAGTTGGAAAGAATGGAGGTCATGCTTATGGGTAATGATCATGAATGTTCTATTGGTGGTATCGGTACCGTTCGGATTAGGATGAGTGACAGAGTGATTCGGGAGTTGGTTGGAGTGAGGTTCGTTCCTCAGTTGAAGAAGAAAATTGGGGATATTTGGAACACAGAAAAGAGGTATTTTCTGAGCTATTGGTTAGGGTTTTGTTTGGAGAGAATTAGAGATTTGTTGGTGAGATTAATTGGTGAGTTCGAGTGATTTGTAATCTCAGTTTGTACTCTTCTTTTCTATTAGTGAAAAACTCTATCTCCTTCTTGCCGTAGACGTAGGCAACTTGCCGAACCACGTTAAAATTAGTTGTTTGTGTTTGTGTTTGTGGTATTGATTTGGTTCGTTTGGCCTTCTCTTGACGTTCGTTTGATTTGATTTCTCGTAGCACGTTGGTTTGGTTGTTTGGCTTCCATAGTGCTCAACATTTTTCTAGTAGCAGTCCATTACACTTTTAATATTTTAAACTTGACCCATCAAATCATTGAAATGCTAGCTTTCTTGTTCCTATACTTTGTTACGGCTACTCTTGATTGGAGGGGTTATTAGCAATTTCAATGGTATAAGTAAGGGACTAAGTTTAGAAGTTATGGACTCATTCTGATATAAAAATATGGGACCTAATAGTATTTCCACTACCTTGAGGCTAATTTAAAAACATAATATGCGTGTAGAAGTATTCTTTAGCTAATATGTGTATTGCTTTGTCCATATCATCTTCAACCAGCAAGCAAGAGATGTTGTGCGAAAGGTAACCTATCATACGTACACCAGACCCACTGTTTGATGAATCGTGAAAATAATAGATTAGCAACTTATGTGTCTTCATGAGTGTTGTAATTTATTATAGTAATACCTCTTTTTTGAACTTTACATAATTATATTTTGTAAATGATGAATAGTGGATAACGCCGTCATATGTGAGAGATCTGAGAATTGGAGCATCTCCTCTTTAGTAAACTTTATAAGCGTAGCAAACGGCAAAAATCTAGCTATCTTACTTTTTGATCCATGTAGAATGAAAAGATATAAACAATGCAGGCTTTTTTGGGTACTTCTTTGAGTTACAAAGGCGTGACACAGCGTGGAAGTACCTTAGAATCTACTAAGGGGCTCTTGGAATCTACGCAGAAATTAATCTTCGTGCCACAAAAATTTTGTAATCCACCGAAGAATTATGAAAACAAGAATATTATTAATCAAAAGTATACCTTAGGGTTTATAATTCATGGCTTCAATAGAAAAACATGTTGTACCATAGAAATAAGCAATTGTTAATCCCATTTCGAAAGCTGACCCTTGCCTCAAGTAGACTACACACCTAACTCGACTCGACCCTTGCTTCAAGTAGACTACACACCTAACTCGACCCGGACACAATGACTTATCGTCTCCCTCAAAAACTAAGACAAAAGGCGTCACTTCTTGTCTCCCTCAAAGGTCGACACGAAAGGCGTCACTTCTCTCCTCCCTCGAAGTGCCGAGACGAAAAGCAGTATTCCTCACACTTATCAAACGATAGCCAGTCATTGTCACATAAAATGAACTGATGAAGTCATCATTACTCTGCCGTCGAAGCATTAATGACCCATCGGACCGCATCAGCACCTTAAGCTCTCTATCTTTGCCGCATTAATCACAATGTGACTTGGATTCCTCTGATATCGACACGTGTAAAAGTGACTAAGCCGACTGCACGTACTCTGCCAAAATTATCTGAATGCCTTTATCATTTAAGTATAAATAGGCACATCTTATATTGACCAAATATATGCAATTTATGCACGCTTAGAGAAAACTATATCAATTCCTTTCGCCCCTTTAGTTCATAACTAGCTTGATCGCCAGAGGAAGCATCGGAGGACCCAACTCCGACCCTCTCACGTGTTGCTTATGTGCATGACTCTCTTTCCATTAGGGGATCACCCATCAAAAGAGATCAATAATGGACCCTAAGCTCTTAAAAATCAACCATAAATCCCATTGTTAAGCATCTCTTAATATGGACGGAAATTATCAAAAATAGAAAGTATCAAAAATTAACCTAAAAGACTATTATTGAAGAAACTAGCCGGGCAATTTTGTGATCAAGTAGGATTTCTTTCCTAATCAAAACCGACTCAAACGTCATTACTTCGCGACTCTTTACAGTTGCAAACCGAAGTGAAGTGGGTTCGGCTGGCTCCGTCCTGTTAAAACATATGATCTTAATATTATTTTCTAATTTTGGGCTACAAACTTGGAGATACAAGTACAACTTGTTCACGTGCAAGTCAAGCATCCTTTACGTGATCCCCGCTTGAGCTTCTATTGGTCCAACCACTCCGTTGACTCATCTGCAAACGTCTTCAAAAATCAAAAGAGCATAAAAAAAGAACATCACATAGGCAAAGTTCTTCTCTAATAATCCCAGTGATTAAGGTTCCTCTGGATATATTGACGATGAGCCATTACCAGATGCATGAATGAACGTCGATTAATATGTGATTCGTTGTTCACAACGAACAAAATGTGTAAGGAACGTTAATTTGACTAACGGCAGGAGACTATTGTGATTGGGGGGTAGAGAGAAAAATCAAGATAACTGCCGACATGTTTGGAAAAAATTTGTAACCAATTAAAATAAGAGAAGGGTAATCAATCAACCTTATCCATTGAGGTTGACTTTTAGCTCATAGAAGAAATGACTCTACTTTTATATTCCAAAATCGGGAAAAAAAAACCACATATTTAAGGATAAATTTTAACTGGTCCCGAAAATTAGCCAACAATCTAAGTTCTTTCGAACAGAAATGTAACCAACAGTAATGACTCGTTCGTGATGAGAACCGTAAAAATTTAATTTCATATTGTCAATTTATTTTTTAAAAAAGATTTCTATCCTATTTCAGAAAACAACGCAATCAATCGCACTCGTTAAAATTTACTTCATGTTAAAGCCAAAATCATCATTTGTAGACGTATCCCATCTTGTAAAATAAAAGGAGCTAACATATTGCATCAGAGAAGGTAAACTGCAAAAGTAAAAAATAAAAAACAAATTACCCAACCAAGATCTGATAGCGAGTTCATCGGGAATTATGAGCGTTTTACCATGTCCATTATTGCTGCAAATAAGTATTATAAGCAAACACATACTCGGTTATCATATGTCCACGTAGTTAAAACGCTCAAACGCCCTCTTTTCTCTAAAATGGTCAAATGGAAAGCCACTACTGAGGTACATGAACCCAGTTAAGAGCCTCCTCCATGGCTCTTATCAAAGAAACAAGATCCACATCTGCGACACCGCCCCTCACAATGCCATTGTCGTTATCATAGCTTCTATTCGTCGCTAATGCCCGCTCTCTCTGTTCACAGAGTGAGAACCTACAAACTGGACATTTCCCGTGGCTTCTCACCCATGGGACAAGGCAGTCGTTATGGAACATATGGTTGCATGGAGTTATCAGGACTCGCTCATTCAACACGAAATCTTCAAGGCAAACATTACAGCTCTTTCCTTCGCTCTTCTCTTCCTCTATTTTCTTCTTCGTGACACTCTTGGTGCTGAAAAGGCCTTGGGTCCATGACTTCTTTCTTGGATGGGTAGGGTTGTATACTCCCTTTCTGAGCTTCTTCATGGCTTTTTTGAACTCGTTTTCAGTTAGGCCAGGCTCATCGGGCTCGTTTTGGGGAAAACTGAGATGCCAGTCGTTTCTGATCCTTGGAGGAGAGTCCTGGATGAACTGCCTCAATCTAGGGTTTACCTGTTCTTGAGCTCCGGGACCGAGGATTAGGATCCGAATTGGAGAATAGGGTTGTGATGGAAAGCTGTCATTGAAATTGTCAGTGAAAATTTTTAGTGTAGTTATTGTCATTTTGATCATATTTGTAAGATTTGTAGCGTGACTTGGGGAATCATGACAATCTATGGCAAAGTATAACCATGTATGCATCTACTAGCCAAATGAAAGAATACTTGGTGATGGATTATCTTGCTACCTGAATAAAATTATTAGGAAACACTTGGTCATTGAATGTTTGCATTAATATTGAAGAAGAAATTTCACTGAAGTAACAGTCTGCGACTGATACCAGTTGCACGCAAAGAATTGTGCGAGTGCAAAATACAAATAACCAGCAAATCAAAGCATCTAATCACTATTCTTTTCGTTAAAATATAAAATCCTAGCTTTCTTTGTACAAAAGGGATGATTTCTTTTCCCACGCATTGTTTACAAATTTGTATCTTGAAATTGTTGCAGTTTCTCTACTAGTATTGTTTACAAATTTGTATTTTGAAATTGTTGCAGTTTCTCTACTAGTAAGAAGTTCTTGATGCACGCACGATCATGGTGACAGGCATTTTTCGCATGTGCAAAATAAAAGGAAAAAAAAGTAAGTAGTGGAATTTAAGTACCTGGCTAAGCCATAGGGTCCGCTCCTCACCCTCTCTTCGAATAATCTCCATGGAGTATACAAGCCTCCGCCATCTTCCTGAAGATAGCACAATATAATCTTTAACATTTTCAAACAAAATCATACAATAACATAAACAAAGCTAGCGTCTCTACGAAGCAATAAGTCAACTATCTAAGCTTACTGGCTGATAGAGCAAGGGCAAAGGCATGAAATAGTGAGAATGGCTTTGGTTATAGTCATCATCATGGGCAGATTCATACTGGTTACCTCGGCTCAAATTATGAGGGGACAAAGTTAAGGCAAGTCTCCCATAGCTCATTCTTCAGCTCTCGACCAAAACTAGCCACTGCAAATAGAGGGAACGCAGAATGCTTACATTTCTCAGTGCACTTGTGCTTTATTCTTTCTCGGTGGAGGCGAATCTGCTTTCAGGAAAAGAGTATTCTCTTCTCCAGTGAGTGGATACTATAAAAGGAATCAGAGAAAGTGAGACCAGATTCTATGTAAAAGCATCTTAGAACAAACATTTTACATGGATGAAAAGAACCCAGATGTCAGTGGGCATCAGATCCTTTTCACTGTGCCTACAATAAACACCCAACTCATGAATCGCAACCGTCCATAATAAGTTCCACCCCAAGTGAAATAAGGATGAGGGTAATCTACACTGAATTGTGTGTTTATTCAAGATGTCATATGAATTCTCATTTTCAAGAACACTAAGGAAATTGCAAAACATAATTTTACAATTCCAGTAAGACAACTATGGAAGTCTAGAAAAGAATACGAGAGCAGCATCCAATATTAGCAAATCAGTCATGCTGTGAAGCTTAAATAAGTACCAAGAGTTCTCAGCTGAAACATAAAAAAGAGGAAACACAAATTACTAGCTGTCACTGAAAAAGTATGAAGCCCCAAGATACATGGCAGATATGGTTAGCACAGACCCAAATAATAATTTAAATAAGAATATACTGCTATAGTAAGGCTGCGCTTTAGGCTGCAATTCAATTCAATTCCAAGCTAAATCAAAAAATAACGGTAGCAAAGACTTCTCCAGGCTTCCACAGATTTATGGTTATATTCAAATTTTGAATCCCACAACTCAAGCTTAAAAGATTGGCGGACCCAAAAGGAAGGGGGGAAAACTTAGAAGGAACAGAATCTTTTCTTCTACTGCCCTTTTCATCCAAGCTACCATCACTTGCCGCAAAATGAGCTGAGTTACTTATTCATAGTAGATGACAAATAGAAGTTCCAGAAGATTGAGGCAGAAGACATGAATGCCACACGAGCAGAAAGTGGCACCACCCTGGATACATGAACCACATAAGAAGACATTGACAGAATTCATCTGATACACTTCAGTTGACAAAATAACAAGAACATGGTGCAAATATGTTCACATAGGTAACACCATGACAGATATACCTAGCCTGTTAATGATGGCTTATAATTTTAGCTCATGTATAGGTAATGTCTTAGACACGATTAGATCAACTATTGTGATAATAGAAGTTAAATAATCAAGATGGCAGACAGGCATAAAAAAATGTTTACTGAAGAAGAAGAACAGTGAGGTTGACCACTGACTAAAATTAGTTGAACAAGCATTGACAATTATTTTTCATATTAGGAATAAGAAGGATCTATATGGAGCTATGAGCATGCTTAATCCTCCCAATAATGTGTAAAATATCAATTTGACATCCTCTCAGAAGGAACTTGAAGAGAGTTATATGCACTATGAACATGCTTTTGGGTTACAGGTGACCCATTGTTATATAAGAATATAAGTGAAAATATCAGTCCAAGATTAGTCTTGCCTAGTGACAATGTCCACATTTGTTAAATTAAAAGCATTAGATTCCTTGATTTCTTTCTAAGAAACCTAGATATGGATCAGTTTTAAACTTCTAATCCAAGCCCATAAACATGATCACTACGAATTATCTGTTCTGTATTATGCTTTTCTTATTATTTTATTAAATTTTCAGTCAGGCAAAACTGAGATCCAAGAAGGGTTTTTTCATGGAAACCACCTTAAAAATCAGGTCAGTATATAGAAGTCACCTTTCATTTTCAATTTATACGTAAACCACCCTTAAAGTGGGTTTTTGTTCCAATCAACCACCTCCCAGTCAAATTTTCACTAAAAAACAAAATAACCTTAAAAAATGCACGTTTAAGGTACATGACTTGTATCCTAACTAGACCTAAACATTGGCAAAGTGAGTCACATATCTTGAATGTGAGTTTTCTAAGGGTACTTTTGGGTTTTAAGTGAAAATATTGACTAGGACGTGGTTGATTTGAACAAAAATGACTTTAAAGGTGGTTTATGTATAAATTAAAAATGAAAGGTGGTTCCTTTATAATGACCCTATTTTAAAGTGGTTTCTAGGAAAAACCCCATCCAAGAACATGAGAGTACACTACATACATGACAAAAGAGCACATGCCATATATTCAGTATGGACCGAATCAATAAGTACATGATTCAGTAGAGTCAATTTTTTAAGTCTCTAGGTCAACCATAATAGCCTTATTTTTCTTGTCTCTAGATCATTAATCAGATAAACTTTAATGTGCAACGCAATGGACCTAAGCTGTGACAACAAACACTTTCACCCTCTTCCTTCTCACTGTCCCTTTTATTTTATTTTTCTTTTTCTTTTTTCTTTTTCTGGGTCAGATAAGGTGCCAGCTTAAATCCTTAAAAGCAGTCAATTAAGATGAATCCCTGTCTTTGTCCCTTATTTGACATCCTCAAACCCACTCTCTCCCTTTTCTCCAGGATAGAGTAAGGTTCGAGTTCTGCCTCTGCAGAAACATTTGTTTTAGGTCAGAACAAAAACAGATTAGAAAGTTCGTATAGCAAATACATCAGTTTCTCATTTTCTTCCAGACTCTTTCCTGGTTTTGGAGGGTTAATCCCAGGTTGCACGAGCTCAAATTGCATAAGCAACAATATAACTTTCAGTGGCCTTAAAAGGAATTATAGGTAGTCCCTCCTCCTTTTTGGCACCAATGTAGAGGGTTCTGTCAAGTTAGAAACCACTTAAATTTTCAAAAATAATTGATACACTGTGCTTTATCAATATCTGCAGATTGTTCTTTGCATGAATTGTTCATGATATAATGAAAAATAATTGATGTACTGAGCTTTACCAATATCTGCAGAGTGCTCTTTGGATGAACTGTTAAAGATAATATCCTTGCTTTGCATAAAGATGTTCATGAGTTTTATGTCAATTGATGCATTTGAAACTTCATTACAAGACCGTGTCCTCTCATTCTTTTGATATGACGTTCTAGGAAAACAATTTATAATTGACAAACTAAAGAATAATTGGTTCCCATTATTCAAAATGAAAATGACCTATTATGCAAAGCTGGTCAGATATAAAACTAATAGAATTTTCATTGTTTCAAGGAAAAAAAACAAAGAGAAGCTAATGCACTCATTCATTACGAAAAACCTAAACATCAATCAATATCAACTTATGCCAGTGAGATATTCTGATTAATAGTTGAAAAAATGTAATTCTTATGGTGCCATTTTGTGTTGACATTAGCAATAGAGAACTTTATTGGTATGTGTAAGACTACAAAAGCACACCTAAGTTAAGCAAGTTAACAAAGTAGCACAGCCTAATGTACACACAGTTGTGTGCATCTATGAGTAGCTTATCTGCTTTAGTCAACATAGAGATCAACTTAACACTGTATGCGTCGAGTAATAAGAAATGCCCCTTGGGTCAATAAGCAACAAAGCAGTTGTTACATGAGCAATATCTAGGTATCTACTAACCAAATCACTGCAATATCCTAGCAGCAGCTTTTGTGCCATCTCTCACTATCTTTGGGTTGGCATATTTTATGTTGCTTGGTTGACTCACTAACAAGTAACGAGCAGGTTTACAATGTATATACAGTTAGAAATCAAGGGTAAGGCTATAAAGCAACAAATCTGATGTAGGTGAAGAGCCTACCCTTTACAGCAAATCCATTTTTTTTCAGGAATCAAGATTCAGTGTGGTTTTCATAAGTGAAAATAAAGAGTCCTAAAAGATTACTAAAAACAAACAAATCTGACAAAAAACATCTGACATTTGAAAGAAAAAAGAATAGTCAAGAAAATATCAAAGTATGTAAATTGCAAAGATTATGTCAGCTTCATTTCAATTAAATACGAATAAAAAAACTAAAGCAGAATAGGTAGGTGCATACCCAAAGTTTAGTATGCTGACAGGAATCCAGAACCTAAAGCCTGTGTCAAATTAAAATAAACTTGAAGAATTTTTGAAACAAATATTATATCTCTTCAAAGAAAAGTAAAGAAGTTAACTTACCATAGAGAAGTGTAGGAAGGGCATCCCTTTGGTATTTGGTGGGCAAATCTGATAATTTCCCCAGCCATAAATTGTGCCATGCAAAAACAACAGCAATAACACATGGACCGAGTACAATTTGGTTCAATAGAACCTGCAATACGATTGGAAACCAATCATCAAAAGATGCTGGAAGGTTCTATCCCATACTAGGCCAAGGTTACTGAGACCTAAAAGTATGCTAACCTTCGTTGAAAGATTTATTATGTTCTGCTTGGGCATAGAACGATCAAGGAATTGATACCATGCATAAGAGCCAGGACCATATAACAGAAATCCATAGGAAGCCATGCGCAGAGAGCGAAGCCAATCATGGTCTGACCAAAGCACTGAAGCATGATCCTAGAAGCAAATTAGACGACAATGCTCAGGTGCAAAAATGCGAGAAATGATGTACAAGTATGATGATGACATAACAAGCAGATGCTATCTGTGTGAAAACATGGAAAGAAAATCTTGACTTGATCTCTTTCACCACCGAAGTCTGCACCATGCTTAAGACAAAAACGGCATCTGATTATGGAACACACATCTTCACCCATCATAAAACAGCGGTCAGAATCGGACAGTTTCGTTTACTATATGATGAACTAAGAAATGTTCTCTCTCATAAAAAATGATCCCCCCTCCCCCCCCTGTTAAGTAAGCTTTAGGGAACACGCAGCTCAGCATCAAGTCAAAAGTTAAGGAGAAATTTAATAAAAGCATGTTAACATAGCTCGCAGTAGCTTTTGACGGTATTAGTTCAGAGGTACTAGAGGACGTTTCTCACACGTCGATTAAGAATTGAGAAGAAGGTAACTGTGTTGTAAGTTGAAAATTATGGCTGCCTGCAAAACTGAACTTGCAATGCTCAAGATAAAGCTAGCAAAGAAAAAAGCTTGTAGTCATGGGTTGGATCCACTCTGTGCAAAGTTGGGTCACGTGACCGGTGACTCCGGTTTGCATAGAGGAAATAGGCCCCCTACCCCAACCCCTACTAAGAATAAAAACGTTCACCCCAATTTTAAACCCAACCCATGGTGACCACACTAATAAATTGGCGACCCTATAAAAAAAGTCCATAGAAGTAAATGACAAACTACTAATCTACAGCGTTATCAAGTTGATGTATTTTATTTGGTGATATATATGCAACTTCAAGAGCTTAATGATCATTTTAATTAAAATTTGTTGGGGTCAGTTGTAAATTTTTAAAATTATTAATTATTTAGATATACCGCTATCCAGAATCCTGGATCCACCACCGCTTGTAGTAAGTCATTAATAGTGGAACGTAAACAGCAGTAGACCTAATTCCCTTTTGAGTGCACTAGAACACCTTAGAAAAGTAAATAGCATATACTTAATAAAAAGAGGGCTATTTATCCGTGCTAACATAACTACATAAGGCGCTCATATAAATGCAAGTACAAAATGCAAGTGTTTAATAAAAAAGAATTTAGAGATTGCACATTTAATTTTGAAGGGGTAGATCAAAATATTTCCTCTTGAGGCCGAAAAGAAATATCTCCTAAAATATATTCACGATATTGTATAAGCACCAGTAAGAGACGCTTGTTGTTATCATATGTTTCTTGATGAGAACATCAATGCGCCCTTGCAACCTCTATATACACACTGGTTACAACTATCTTTTCCCACAACTTATTATACCCGGGTGATGGCGTCCAATATATAGGCCCACCTTGTAGTTTTTCATATTAGATTTATTCAATCAAGAATTTTAATATCTAATAATTGTTAGCAACTACATTCTAAGATGGACTACTCACCTCTACGCGAGCAACTCCTTCCACCCTAAAACTAACCTCTTCCGCAAACATGATATCCAGGAAAACATTTAATTGTTTTATTGTCTTAAATGATTATCCTATCTCATGAAAGATCTAACAAGGGAAAAATACTAAGCGCCTTCATCCATCCTTAGGGGAGTTAGATGGCAATAAAATAGTCGGAGGGTTTACATCGGTTTTTTAGGGTTTTAGACTATTGATTCCGTAGCTGTGGGCATCGACAAACAGGCACTGCTTCCTTTTCGGTTGATGAGCTCGATTCTGGTTACAAAAGGCTTCACCTTTAACTCACATTTCCCCCCCTAAATCCTGCTATAAGTTCGAGGAAAATCCATCAAGTTAAAACTGACCTTTGAGTCCGCGCTGTCCTGAGTCCGTCGGAGATTAGATAGTCGGTCCCTGAACTGGGCGATGGTGTCGCCGGAGAGAGTGAGAGCGGAGGCGATAGCCGACTGCTTGAGAGGGAAGTCGGAGAGGGACCACCCCCCCGCGCTCCCTTCTCGTCGAAGATTGATGGGTTCAGATGAGGAAGAAGAAGAAGAGGACGACGATGATGAGGATTTGGGTTTGGATCGACGGCGGTGGTTTCTGTTTTTGGGAGGGAAGTTGAGCCAGAAGAATCCGCCATTTCCAAGAGCATCCATGTTTTTTTTCTTTTTCTTTTTTCCCCCTTTGGAAATTGGGGGAGAGGATGGAGAGTTAAGGGGCTGTTTGGTTGGTTTAGGGTCCGTTCGTTTCAAAAAAAAACCTGGAAATTAAAGAATAGGAAAACTATTTTCTATAATAATTGTTTTGAGATTGTTTGGTTGGGTTAAAAAAGAAGGAAATTATAAAATAGGAGATGAGATGAGATGAGTTGTCACCTTATTATTGGATGATGTGAGTGGTTTTCTAAAAAAACTTGTTTTGTGGTTGTTTGGTTGGTTAAAAAAAAATAAGGAAATGAATTGGAGGTAAATTATTGGATGATGTTTTGAGGTTGTTTGTGTTTGGTTCATTTTTAAAAATAAGAAAATAGATGAGATGAGATGAGTTGGAGGTATATATATTATTGGATGATGTGACACATACTTGAGGAAATCAATTTCTTGTTTTTTTAGGAAATGGATAGAAATGAAGGTTTAAAGAGATGAGATGAGTTGTCACAATTTTATTGGATGATGTGTGTGATTTTTAAAAATGGGATAAGATGAGATGTGATGAGTTGGATGATGTGACACATTTCTTGTGTTTGGTTTATTTTTAAATGTAAGAAAGGAGATGAAATGAGATGAGTTGGAGGATAAAAATAATATTTTATTGGATGTTGTGAGTGAGTTTTAGGGATGGAAATAGATAAAAATATTATTTTATTGATTTCCTTGTACCGATTTCCTTTTTTTGGTTTTTAGGAAACCAACCAAACAGCCCCTTACTAAAAACCAAGAATAGGAAATTAATCTTGGAAATCTCAAAAAGTGCAATTTCCACTATTTCTATCCCTAAACCTTCCCATAACATCTAATAAAATATTATTTAATCTAACAACTCATCCACATCCTCTAATAAAATATTATTTTTATTCAACAACTCATCTCACATCATCCAATAAAATAAACTAAACAAAAAGAATGTGTCACATCATCCAACTCATAGGGGCTGTTTGGTTGTTGTTGGTAAAGTTGTGTATTTATGACACAACTTGAAAAGTTGTTGTCCACCTCATCAATTTTACTTTTATATTTTTCTTTGTTTGTTTTTGATTCCATTGGAATCATAAATTGCTTGTTTGGTTTGTAAATGTAACTTTAATTGTTTGTTTGGAAAGTGTAAAAAGTGGTCCCTACTCAAATGATCATATTGGTTAGAATTATTTTTTATTATTTTTTCCTAACTTCAATGTCAGCTTTCTCCTAAAATCATGTCTTTTTTTTATGAAATCCCTTTACAAGCCACATCAGCATATGAAATCACTTTACACTATTTTCACAACTACAAACAAACAATTGAAAGTGATGAAAGTTGACATTGGGACCCACTTTTTTACACTTTTCATCCTTTTACATGGTAAAAACATACAACCAAACAGCCCCATATATCTCCATCTCATCTCATCTTTAAAAATCACTCACATCATCCAATAATACGGTGACAACTCATCTCACTTCATTAATATTTCATCTCCACTCATTTCCTCCAAAAAAAAACAAGGAAATTGATTTCCTTAAGTGTGAGTCACATCATCCAATAATATAATGACAACTCATCTTATCTCATCTCATCTCTTATTTTTAAGAATGAACCAAACACAAGAGAAGAACATATTATAGGAAATATGTTTCCTATTCTTTGATTTCCTTCTTTTTTTAGCCAATCAAACAAACTCAAAACAAGTTTTTTTAAAAACTCACACACATCATCCAATAATATAGTGACAACTCATCTCATCTCATCTCCTATTCTTTGATTTCCTTCTTTTTTTAGCTAACCAAACAACATCAAAACAATTTTTTAAGGAAATAGTTTTCTTATTCTTTGATTTCCTTCTTTTTTTGGACAAACAAACAGCCCCTTAGAGTCTTTCTTGGGTCGCGTTCTGTTTCAATTTTATGTCATGTTCGGTTGGCGAACCCTAAATAATGCAAAATAATTTCCAGAATAAAACGTGTTTTCAAAAGCTTTCTAGGCTTCCATGAAATTGGTTTACTGTGTTTGGTTCGCAGTCAAAACAATAGAAATGGGTTCACATAATTTTCATTATTTATTTCAACAAATGTAATGAAAAATATTTGTAAACTTGTTCCTTTGGTTTCTTTAGTTTAGCTGGAAAAATGTCAAATCATTGGAGATGTTGGCTCAGGGGCTGTTCGTTTGGCCATTTTTTTTGGGAAATCAAAGAATAGGAAACCTATTTCCTATAATATTTGTTTTGAGGTTGTTTGGTTGGTTTAAAAAAGAAAGAAATTGTAGAATAGGAGATAAGATGAGATGAGTTGTCAACTTATTATTGGATGATGTGAGTGATTTTAAAAAAAAATTGTTTTGAGGTTGTTTGGTTGGTTAAAAAAATAAGGAAATGAATTGGAGGTATATTATTGGATGATGTTTTGAGGTTGTTTGTGTTTGGTTCGTTTTTAAAAATAGGAAAATAGATGAGATGAGATGAGTTGGAGGTATATTATTGGATGATGTGACACGTACTTAAGGAAACCAATTTCTTGTTTTTTTTTGAGGAAATGGATGGAAAGGAATGTTTAATGAGATGAGATGAGTTGTCACAATATTATTGGATGATGTGTGTGATTTTTAAAAATGGGATAAGATGAGTTGTGATGAGTTGGATGATGTGACACATTTCTTGTGTTTGGTTTATTTTTAAATGTAAGAAAGGAGATGAAATGAGATGAGTTGGAAGATAAAAATAATATTTTATTAGATGTTGTGGGTGAGTTTTAGGGATGGAAATGGGTAAAAATATTATTTTATTGATTTCCTTGTACCGATTTCCTTTTCTTGATTTTTAGGAAACCAACCAAACGGGCCCTCAGCTCACCGTGGTGCGTCTACCCCCATATCATACTATATTTTTGAACTCCAACACGCAAACTGTTGTCCACGGCTCACGAGTAGCCACTATAAAAATATTGAATCAAACATACGATCTCAGCCAACATATCAACAGGGTCGGCTCTGTGCGTGTTCAGAGTGAGCCACCGCACTGGGCCCCCAATTTTTGGGGCCCCCAATTTTTTTATAATTATATTTACATATATGAAGAAATAAATATGGACCGTCCATTTTACACCCAGCTTCATCTCAACCCTATGTTCAAAAATCCTCCTTCAAAAACATCAACCCTACCCATCTTCATATCTCACCATTCTCACTCAAACGCCAGCCGCCAGCCCCCAAATCTGAAATCCCCCAATATGATATCAATACCAAATACCCATTAAAATGCTTACAAACAAAGCATCCAAAGGAGCTAAACTATTCTGTTATTGCAAACTTCCAATCCCACTGGAGATATGCAGGCACAGTTAGAGATCTTGATATAAAGTTAAATCTTTTCAAATGTGGATGAAAGCTCAAATGAAGATAAGAATGTGAGGAAAGTAAAACAGTTGAAGGCTAATTTGAAGGCTGCATATCATGAGATATCAATATGAAAAATATGTGTTTTCTTCTTAGTAATACTAAGCTTAATGCAGTTTGTAATGAATATTCTTGTGTGTACTTCAAATGATATTGGAAAATAAATTTTTATTGGCTTTGAAGCGATTGAAGCCTGTTGAAAAGTCCAATGCAAATATTGAACTCCAAATATTTCATAAAAAAAATAATAACATGTAATAATTAACTTGCATAACTGGACTAAACTTGTGAGCATACATGAAAACACAGACCAAATATTGAAAAAGCCAAGCAAAAACTAAAATAAGCATGGTGTAAATATGAGACGTGTATGAAATTCTGGTGAAGGGCTCAGGAAAATATCATTTATTTATTGATTACCTCTATTACGTTTTATTAAAAATATATGTTGTCATCTCATATCGTGACCATCATCACTGCTTCACACTGTGTATGCATGAAGTATATATAGTTTGCAATAAGAAAAAAGAACGAAATCAATTGAGCCTCATGAATAAGAAATGAAGACTATAAATGCCTTAATTATAGACACTGTTATGTGTAGGTGCTTTCAATTTTTTTTTCCCTATGTAGTTGGGTCAAAAAATAGCAGCAAAACTGCAAGTGCCAAAAACACAAGCAAGACCACAAGCAAAATTACAGGCAAATTTTTCTTTCATTAATGTTACTATTGTTTCAAGTACCAACTGCAAGGTCATGTCCCTGTTTCTCCGTCAAAGAAATTCAACATAGCAAGATAAAATGTGGAATATTAATATACGGATGTAACTAAAACAAATATGAGTAAGAAATGGAGAGATATTGGTGAATCATCGTTGGCACCAATAGCTAAGGTAAATCTCTTCAAATTCAAATAAAATTGTTATAGTATTATGGTGTTTTATGTCATTAATCCTTTAATCTCTTGATCTCAGCATGAAAGAATGACTACTTGACTTATAAGGAACGAATATTGGAAAACATTAACGACCAAAAGAGGAAAGAAAGGCATGACTTAATGCATGTATCATGGCTTATGATAAAAGCTGAATATTTGAAAGTCAGAGGTGAAAATAGTGATTGGAAATGTCCCTTCTGTATAGATAAAAAAGAGAGATGAAGTAGGAGAAGAGCTATCTCCAGTAGCATGCACATGAAGTTGGGAATGACAGCTCTAAGAACAATCTAAAAGAGGAGGATTCTGCTAAGCATCGTACTTTATTTGCAACGGTTAAAATGAAAAGGAGGAATATACATGTATTACTTTGCTATTTCCACTTTATGTTTTCTTTTGGTTTGTTATGTATAATTTGAAGGAGGTTATAAGACTCTGCCCGAGTATATTAGGTGTCACTGTCCAAAGCAATATCATAAATCTCATTCACTAAATCAAGAACACATGTCACGCCCCCAGACCTAAACAGCATGTGACTAGGCTGGCAACACACCATGTGGATGATAATCGAATCCAAATGATATACTTGGTCTTCAATTTGCATGCCTATTTTTTCGAAATATGAATTTGCGAAAAATACTATATACTTTAGGATCTTGTGAGAAATATATTCGAAAAATAAAATTATTTTCAAACGAAATATAACCCTATTATAC